AATGCAGCTACTGAATCATGAGACTGAAGGTAAAGGTATGAAACACATGATGAGAATTCACATTAATGTCACTTTTTTCTTTTCATTATAAAATCCTATTTGCTTTCATCTTTTTTTCCTTTCTCATTTTCCAGATCAATTTCAGGTGTTCTGTTCTTTGACATCTTCCTTCAGCTAAATTGCATCATCCTGTGCTTTTTATGGGGCAACCAGAAGTCTCTTAAAATTTTCTTTAAAATGCCCTGTTGTCCTAATCAGGTTTTTTATTAAGAATTTTTTTCTTTGTTTCCACTTAACTATTTTCCCCTCTGTTTTAACTACATTACAGCTTTTTTTAAACTACATTATGAAATACATGAGAGGCAGTGTGATATAATGGATAGAGAGGTGTCCTCAGAGCCAGAAAGTTTGGTGTTCAAATACTAGCTGCGTGACCCTCAGCAAATCATTTTACCTTCCAGTGCTCTAGAAACCTCTAGAAGCAGAGAAGATGCCAATCTGCACTGATTGAGTGAATTTCCTCTTTAGGAAGTTCTGTGCAACAAAGAAACTACAAGCCCAGTTCCCACCCATCCTTGCCCCCTCCATTTCAGCTTCCTTTTATACTGTTTTATCTTCCCAAAATACACTGTAAGCTCCTTGAAGGCAGGAAGTGTTTTTCTTCCTTAATATTTTCATTCCCAGTGCTTAGCACAGTGCCTGGGACATAGTAGGTGCTTAATAAATGTTTATTGACTATTTCTAATAAGAGTTAAATATTATAAGTGACATACAACTATATTATAATGGTTTTAATTCTATCATATCTGTCAATTGTAACTTCTTTTTTCTTTCTACGATGACCTTCCATTCTTTCAGTATCTTACTTGTTATGAAAAGTTTGAAACTAAATTCTTCAAATAATGGTTTTTGAAAACTTTGTAACTTACTAATTAACAACTAAAAACAAAATGGTAAAACAAACAAAAAAACCCCAAAAAACAAAATATACTTTCTTGGGGACCATAAAAGTAAGATGATGGCTCCACTTTTTTTTCAAGATGATGGCTCCTTTTCAAATCTGGCCCCAGACCAAACACTTGACAATAGCTATGTGACCTTGGGCAAGTCACTTAACCCCAACCGCCTAAAAAAAAAAAAAGATAATGACTCCTTTATAAAACCAGGGTCAGTAGATATCTTCAGTTGCACCAACAAAATTATAAAAAGAATTAAGGCTGTTGTTTAGGAGATCCAAGTTTCAAGTGACCACCATGGACTCGATTATCAGTATATTTCAGGGAGAAGAGCTATTGGGGTCGTTTTGGGAGAAAGTCTTAAATTATATGGCTAATCATCTCATTTATCTTTTTTTAAAGACAAAAATATATGTGACTGGAAAATTTATACATGGTCACCCTTTACCTTGCCCCCCCACCAAATTTTTTTTTTCCTGAACATTCCTATTCCAGAAGACCAAAGCTTGACATTCAATGGCCTTTTCCTTTGGGCTATGAGGGGAGAGAATTCAGGGCTTGGGACCATGAGCTCATACAAAAATCTGAGTTTACTTCAGAAAAATGTAAGCTCCCAGAGGGCAGGGACTGGTCTCACTGTTTATGAGCTTAGAGACACATTAAGCACACAGTGCTTAATAAATGCCTGTGGTTCTATTAAGTAAAGATGCATCTCTTGACCTTAACAGGGTCAAAGTCTACTCCTTCCCATCACTCCCTTTGGAACCAAGAGGTTTAAATTACATTATATGGTTAATTAATAAATTATTTTGTTAAGTATGGTTAAATTGTGTGGTTAATTACCTCATTTATCTACTTTAACTTTAAGTTGGGCTAAAGGTATGTGCCAACCTCAACTCATATTTATGGTAATGATTTATAAAGATCATTTTCTAACTTTACAAATTACTTTACACATAACTCATTTGATCTTTATTACAATGCTGTAAGGTGAGTAGTGCAGGTGTTATTCTCCTCATTTATAGTAGAAGGAATCGAACCCCCCAAAGCACACAAGATTAGTATGTGACAGGACTGGAATTTGAATTTTGGTCTTTTAATTACAAGTGCAGTGTTCTGAACTATAGGGAAGAAGCATAATAGATAGGGGGGATAGACTTGAAACTCAGGAAGACTGAGTTCAAATTCTGTATAAAGGCTAAGACATTCAAAAGCATTTCATTCTCTCTATGATTGTCTTTTTCCAAGCACAGTTCATATTTTATGCTAGAATAACAAAAACTGCTTTAATTAAATGACTGTACTATAAGCCTGGGGAAAGGGGACAGAGGACTATATTTAATCAATGAAGGCACAAGGGTGGCACCAATGGCAGTTTCTGTGGGAAATGCAGCCATTGCTGGAGGTTGTTTTTTGTTTTAAGTAGGAGCAAGTCCCGCTAAAAGTAGCTAGAACTAGGGAGGAAGAGAATAGGAGAAGCTGGTTAGGTGAGTGGCATCTGGAACTCAGAGAGAGTGTCTGAAGAGGGGACAGCCTGGCACAGGGATCCTGAAGGGAAACTAGATGACATTCAGAATATGATGCACTAAACCCTGGGCATGGCCATTTTCAATTCAATAAGCGCCATAAAGACGTTATTATTTAATGGTGCAATACTAAAGTGTGTTTGACGTGTCAAAGTCAAAATACATGATGCCAAAAATTCGTTCATTCTTCTGAAATGCTACAGTAAAAATGGGTATTAGAAATAGATCTCTCCTTTGTACTCAATTTAGAGATTCAGCTGGTGAGAGCTGTACATTGCCAACTCGAATCCATTTCTCTTTGGATGAAGACAGCTTTATGAACATTATGACACTATTCTACAAATCCAACCACTACTGTTCTTCCAACAAGCTTTTGTACTGTGACATTTGTTTGGAGAAGATAGTAAATGATGTTGAAAACTATCAAAGAAACCATTTTTCTTCTGAGTTGTTTTTTTTTTCCACTTCACTCTACCACATGCCTGTAGCAACTTTATTCTGACTCTTCTGATCTGTCACCTGCATCTGAAACTCAATTATGATTCCATTTATTTGCTGATTGAAACCTTTCTAACATTTGACTAATATACAGATAATAAACATTTTGGATAAGAATAAATTAAGATCTATTAGAGGTCCACACATAATCCCTCTGCAAGAAAAAAAGCTATTTTTCTATGTTGAAATTCTTAAAAATAAATTATATATGACACACTTCTAAGAGACAGTGTGGCATAATGAATGGAATCAGGAAAACTTGGATTCATTCAAATCCAGTTGGTGATATATACTGACTGTGTCAAAGACTATTCATCAAAATATAAAATAAATGCCAAATTCCTATGAAATAATGCAATAAATATAAGCATTAGAAATAGATCTCTATTTTCAACATCTGGAAACAACTACCTAAAACTCTAGTTACAGAATAAATACCAATATGCACCTGGAGTTGCCTACCCCAACGTAATTAAACATCAGGGCCCCAAATCACAAACAATTAAGAACAATGTCAGTACCCAAGAAAAACAAAGGGTAAAACCAAAGCTTTAAGAGCATAACAAAAATAGTTGAAAGATATAAGGAATATGAAGATTAAGCAGGCAATAGTTTTGGTTTTTTTCTGTGATGCCATACCTTTTGCTCAGACAAGAAAATTTAGTCTGCCTGCAGCCTGTTGCAAGCTAAGAGAGGCACATAGCAAATATTTTATGATGAAATTCAGTTTAATTTACATTTGTGACAAGGGATTAATCAGGAACTACTCATCATGATTTTAGCCAATAGGGTTGACAGGCCTGAGTATATATGTCTTGAATCTTTCTGTTTGCCTCACATTCTTATCCTTTCCTAATGGGCAAGTAGGGTGAGGAGGTCTTGGTTGATCCCCTGTTACAAATATTTATTCAACCATCATCAACCCAAACAAATATATAAAAGCACAGTCAGTACAGTGACATATGAGCTATAGGATCTGCAAGAAATAGCTATTGCTTAAAAATAGTTAAATGGAAGGATTAAGGAAAACTTAGATATTATAGCTTCTTCATATTTTAACGCATATTTTATCATTTCTTTGTGAATTTGTGGTGCCCCAAATAGTAAGGTGTTATTAAACACTGAATAGATTTGTGTAATTCTGTTGCTCTTCAGATGTCACAGTGACAAATTTCTTTTTCTTTTTAAAAAATATGTAGTTTGTATGTTTTTTGATGAGGCCAATTAGAAAATACAAGGAAAGCAGAAATCAGGAAGGCAGAGAATAAAAAGAATGCCTGGATTTTTTTACAGTTTTCACTTAACACTTTCTGGACCCTGACATGTTCCAGAAGTCTGTAAAAGTTGGAGATTTACACTCTCATGAAATACCTTTCCACTTTGTTATTTGCTATTATGAAGAATAAAATTTAAATAACTCAGCGGCCACCCACTAAGACCAGCATGATTTGTAATTTAGAGCTGGCCAGATAAGACGTGGCCTGGTTAACCTCAAGAGGTTTGGGAGTTTGTATGCATTTCATAAAGTATTTTCTCTATAAATAGTCAGAGCCAAAATAGAAAATCACAAAGAATCACATGATTTTATTTGCATGTTTTAAAAATCCAGAGATAACTGTCTTCAAATGTTCTTGCAAATCTCAATAATTTATCTTTATAGAGGAATAAAATCATGATTAACATCTTGTCTAGATTTAGGTTGAACTGGGAGATCAAGGTTCTGTCTTCACTTACGTTTCAGTACAACATGTTTATTAGCTCATTCCAATCAATTAATCTGTCACATTGTTTGCATGGTAGCGGTTGAGTGAATTAGACACAGGATCATAAACTCTTGGAATAATATGCTAAATACTGTAGCAAGCTTATTTCAAATTTGCTAATGCTTCTCAAAATGTAAATCTGCTGACTTGGTCCAAGAGGTAAGAGTGTGCATGAAGGATGCCAAGCAAATAACACCCTTTGGCTCAGTTAATTTCACTCTATTTAAAACCTCTTTTCCTTTTCTTTTTTTTTTCAGATGGAATTGATTAAAAATATAAGTACTGCGGAACAGCCCTATTTATTCACTCGTCATGTTCATTTTCTCAATTTCTCCAGGTAGGATATTTCCCACTTTAGCAGTTCTCTTATTTCTTTTTTGGCATGCCCAGGTCTATAGCTTATGAACAATTATTTTTAAATCTATCTTTACTCTCAAAGTGTTTTTATTTCTCTCTAAAAGATAATTCTCAGTAATAATTCAGTGTGATACTAGAACAAATAATAATGAGATCTGGGGTCAACAAGGGTTGGTGTTCTCAGATGATTGAATATGTTGACAATGAATTTGTGTTTTATATTTTTCTACAATTTGGTGGAAAAGTGCCCTAGATCTGGAATTCAAGGATTTGGGTTCAAATCTTAGCTCCACCACTCAAATACCTCCATGACCTTGGGTTTAATCTTTTTCGTCCACAGTTTCCTCATCTGTTAAATGATGAGGGTTAGACTACGTTGCCTCTAAGGTCTTTTCTATCTCTAAATGTATGATCTTAAGAATCTGGGCTGCTAGGTGATGCAGTGGATATAGTGCTGGGCCTGGAGTAAGGAGTTGAGTTCAAATCCAACCTCAGACACTTACTAGATATGTGACCCTGGGCAAGTCACTTCACCCTGTCTGCCTCAGTTTCCTCACCTGTAAAATGAGCTGGAGAAGGAAATGGCAAACCACTCTAGTATCTTTGCCAAGAAAACTCCAAATAGGGTCACAGAGTCAGACACAACTGAAATGACTGAACAACAAAGATCCTAGGACATCATGACCAGGACTCTGGGAACAACTTGGTAATGAAGCAATACTAGCTCTAAAGCTGTATAGAGAATGTTCCATCTGCTGAGAAAGAGATTCGGGTGGTTAGTCTCAGTAACCATGGCAGCAGAATCAGCCTCCTTTCCCTGCCCCAGTGAAAGTGTAGCAGGAGAAAAGAAAAGAGGAACCTGCAGTGATTTTATTTAACAGATCTGAGTAGCAGCCTGCTTCTTAAAATACCTACCAGAAATATGTTCAATTGTCTTCTAAAATAGCCATGATGCTCAATATTCTTTTTCTTTGTTAGCAGAAACATGAAGATGATTTACAATTGGTAGTTTCCACTTCAGGTAAAATGTAAGGATAGAATTCATGTTGCAAATAGGAATTTTTGGATTGCTTTTTCTTGTTTTGTTTTGAGTCTAAAAGTACTCCCTTATGATTTGAACTGCAGTTGTTCACAGCCATTTTCACATGTTTTTCTTTTCAAAAAATTCACCTTTTGATACTCATTTATAGCTCATATATGTTTAAATATGATTAGACATCATGAATCTCCAGCTCTAAATAGATATTCAAACTTGGAGCTTTCTGAGCCTCAGTTTCCTCATTCATAGAATGAGTGTGTTGGAGGAAACAATGCCTATTATGCCTCTGATCCCTTTCAGTTTCAGATCCTCTGCTAATAAACATTTGTCAGACTCCTATTACATTAGCTTGTCTAGGTTTGAATCATCAAACTTTTAAAAGGATGCACAGAAATAGGAGAGGAAGCAGAAAAGCAACAGACATCCAGAGAATGAAAAACAGATATTCTGTGGAAGGATTAGAGGAATGGTGAAATTTAGCCTAAAGAAGAGAAAGTGCAAGATAACTTAATAAAGTGATCCCTACTTTACAAAAATATCCAACAAATGCAAATCACTTTTAAAAAAAGTATAAAGTAGGGAGTGATTTTATTGTGAAGTATTGGTTTTTAACCAAAGTTGCTGTCATTGAATTCCTCTAAGTCCCAGGTATCCCTTAGTTTCTATGTGGATTTCTATAGTGCATTAAATTTCTGCCCAATGAGTAAAAAATTTCCAGACATTGAGTTGTCAGAAAATAGAATGGGCTGTCTCATTGTAATAAGCTCTTTGTCACAAAGATATTCAAACAAAAGCTAAAAGGTAGTGTAGTGGAGAGCGAGTTAGATCTGAAGTCAGGAAGACCGGAGTTCAAGCCCCCTGCCTCACATGCTTAATAGTTGTGTAATCAGGCAAATCATTTAACCTCTGTTTGCCTTAATCCATCGGAGAAGGAAATGGCAAACCACTCCAATATCTTTACCAAGACAACCCCATGTGCAGTATATGGCATGCTGTGATCCACAAGGTCACAAAGAGTCAGACATGTCTGACTGAACAACAACAAAACTTGAGCAAGACACAGTCTCTCGGCCTCAGTTTCCTCTTCTGTAAAATGAGGCTTAACTAATAATGGCACTTACCTCAAAAAGTTGTTGTGAAGATTAAATGAGATAGCATTGCTTCAAAAAAACTGAGAGTGTTACATAAATGCTAGCTATTATTACTATTATTAATAGTAGTTGTAGCAATAGTAGTAGTAGTAGTAATAGTAGTAGTAGTAGTAGTAGTTGTTGTTGTTAACCATTAGCTGGAGATATTAGAGAGGTAATTTATGCTTCATAGAGGAGATGGCCTAATTCACGACCAATTCTAAGATTCTGATTCTGTAACTCAGATATAATGGAATAATAATATTTTACATTTGTACGATGCTTTAAATTAAAAAAAAACACTCAAAACACTTTCAGATGCATCATATTATGCTGCTAAGAATTCAATCAATCAATGAACAAACATTAATAAGTTCTTACCATGTGCCAGGCACTGTGCTAAGTGCTAGGGATAGAAAAAAGACGAAAACATTCCCTGCCTTCAGAGAACTCCCATTCTAATGGGGAAGACAAGAAGATCATTAATCTATACAGAACTGCATTTTTTTAAATTTTCCTGGAGCACAGAGGCTGTCAAATATTTGAGATTCAAAGGAATTTGCTACCATGATGCTAGCCAGATACAAATTAATCATTAATATCAGCAAAGCAGAAAATTCAGCTAAAATGCTATAAGCGCTATCAGTAACTGGAAAACAAGACTGGTCAAAGATAGTCTTCTTTTGAGTAATGTTGACCTCTGGGAGGTAAAACAGGATTTGATTACTGGGAGAAGTTCCCTAGACATCATGGGACACCTTGGCCCTATCATGACCTGAGGTTCTTGCCACTTCTCTTTTTGTTGTGACTGAAAAACAAACTAACAAAAAAGGCCTTCCTTCTCAGAGATGAACAGAGATTCCTCAGGAATGATGCTCTGTAGCTCATGATACTGTGCCCTTGGAGAGGGAATAGGTTCCCAGAAGGCATGAATCCCAAACTCTCCCTCCCCATACCTTTTAAGCCTTTACAGTTATACTGTCTCTCCAAGGTATAATTCTGCATTGTAATTGGCTATAAACATATTGACTTTAGCTTGTAGTTGGCTGTACACTAGCCTAGACTACATACACACACACACACATACACACACACACATGCACATACACACACATACATACACATATTTCTGATAATCATTGATGTTTCACAAATGTGCCCCACTGTCCTCCAAAACCCTGCTTTTTCCGCCAGCAAATCCAAGACCTTGTGGTGACCGCTGGTGACCCTACTTTCCTCTTCATACTAAGTTAAGCTACCCACAATAACTTTGTTGGAAAGGGTGTAGGCTTTTCCTTTCTTCCTTGTTCTATTCCCTGGAAACAACTCAGAATCCTTCTTTAGATTTTTTTTTTGTAAAGGTCTTATTACTAAGCACTATAAGGAAACATACAAGGGATTAAAATAACCAAGAAAGGGAAAATTTCCAAGTCAAAAGAGTTCTCATTAGTTAATCCTGATCCTACAAGCAAAATGTGCCAGAAACCAGGCCTTCATCCTCAATGCCCCTTCTCTTGCCTGATTGGCATCTCTTCTTACTGGTTTCTTCTCTGAGTCAGACCAGTTCACTCTTGTCAAAGCTGGATTTCTAGCTAATAAATTCAGTTTGCCCAGGTTATTATGTGGCTCAGCCCTTCCAGAGACTGTTTCTTTGATCCTGGAAAAAAAGTAAGTAAGGGAGAGCTGACCCTGTAGCAAGAAGAAAACTTATAGGGGCAAATAGATGGCACAGTGGATAGAGCACCGGCCCTGAAGTCAGGAGGACCTGAGTTCAAATCTGGCCACGGACCAAATACTTGACACTTACTAGCTGTGTGACCCTGGGCAAGTCACTTAACCCCAATTGCCTAAAAATTAAAAAAAGAAGAAGAAAACTTACTATGCCACCACTAATCATCCTAGACGTCTTGCAAGGAATTAGAATGCTTCCCATCATCCTTGCCTCTGTGGCCATGAACTTGGAGAAGTGAAATCTTTGTCTCCTGAGTCCCTGAATGAGGGAGATCCTTCCCAATCTGACCACCTAAGATCTTTCTCCCTGGGTTTAAGGCTTCCTGCTCTATTTGGAAAATAGCAAGCTACATCCTCATCCTCTCCACCTCCCTCACCACCTCAAGTTCTCTTTTTCTTCTTACATAAACCTGTCCTCTCTGTCTTTGTCTGTCTGAAGCAAACTCCCAGGCTAGTTAGATTTAAGAAGCCCTCTCCCTTGTGGTGAATGTACATCCCCTTCAGCTTGACTCAAATTGGTCTGTGGGGCCCCCTCTTCTCTGAGGCTATATGGCCAGATACCTGGAGGCTAGACTTCATTAATCTCCTCCTCCAAATCTGGCATCCCCGTGCTGTTCGCAACACCAGATCTATTTGCAAATTCTATTTTTGCCTGATTCTGACCTTTTGTACCATGGAGTTCCATCCGTGGCTCCCAGCTCATTAATGGAACTTAGATGGCAGACCTAACTAGGGCCATTAAAGATTGGGTACCTGTATTTGGCCTAGCTACCAGCTTCAAACACCTCTTGGTTCTTCTAAGTCATGTCTCATGCCCTATTCTTGGCTCTTGGTTTATTAGAATCCATGTTCATAATTAGGAAATTTGCTCACATATAACTCTCTCCCAACAGAGTCTGTTACCATAGCCAATGAACACCAGAATTTCTTTGGCCTTTCCCCGCCAAACATCAACTGTTATGAGATTGCTATCTCTTTCTCCTACAGAGACAATCACCCCCTAATTAGTCTCTTTGCCTCACATCTCTCCCTATTCCAATTCATCATCCACACAGCAGCCAAAGTGATTTCCCTTAAGCA